CTCCTCGGCACACCGACAGTTAGTAAACGGTACTGGTCGCATGGTATTTGGCGTTTGGTACGGGTACTAGTACAGGTGCGTCCTATATAATGCCTACGATCTACGACGGTGGCAAATGATTAGCGGATGTCGGTGATGTTTAGAGGCGGTGCTGTTAGTACAAAGCTTTTCGGCGCTCAGGCGACGAACTTCCACGACATCCGTCGTCAGCACCGTCGTCGTCACTCCGCCGGACGGAACAACGGGATTTGGGTGCGGACGTTACTTGATGCTTCCCTCTCGTTTGCCCGTTACCCTTTAGCGTCGATTACCGTGGTCATTGACCCGACGGGGCTTATCGAGCCGTCCGTAGCGCGCCGCGTTGAGAATAAACACAAATCAGACCCGTAAATCCGTAGATTCTGCGAGTGCGACCGGCACACACACGCAGACGCGCGTACGCGCAGTTACTGTGTGAACACGCACGTAGCGTGCGTGTGTAAGCAGCCCACAAATCAGTGGACTCACAGATAGCTTTCGATAGCTCATATTTGACGTTACAAGATAATGCGTATTATTTTTTTATTAACGTCGTAGAGTCAATTTGGATGTTTCCTCGACGAAATAGTGAAATTGACGATCACCTCGGTAATTAACCTTAGCTCGCCACATTTCGACCCGGTGTACGGCTGAATGTTTGTCGATTTTCTACACAACAAGGAATTGTGTATTAAAAGAAAGGGATCCGCTGAAATCGTTGTGTTACTTTAACTTGATGAATATTTTAAAAAGTACACAAATATATATGTTAAATTAACGTATTCACCTGTGTTAAAATAACACAAAAATTTCAGCAGACTCTTCTTAACGTAAAATCTTTCACTGCGTAGTTCTCACACTGGCATACTAATTTCTTTTCTTGAAGTATAATAAGCGTCCGCTGCAACGAACGAACATTACATTTTCGTAAATTCGCGTTCGCAAATCATTTGAGAACTTTTCCCCCGGAAACACTATTTTTCTCGTAACAATGAGAGTTTAGTTGAAACGCAAATCATTTTCTTAGCATGATATCGTAAATATCTTATTCGGACTCGGCATTTCTGATTCTCATATTGCTACAAGTTTCAAGGTATTAATTAGAACGGAAATGACAGGGCGACGAAGTCGAGCGGTCTCGCCGGATGTTTGAGGCGAATTAAAGACTCGAAAATAAGTATGGCTAGCTAGGGTTAAACCTGGCTGATCAGGTCAGATCGGGGATTCCGAAATATGCTAATGATATATCTCGCAAGAGGGCACTCAATTCTCAAACTCGGTTACTTCCCGTCGCGGATCGTTAATCGTTTGACTTGCTAAAGTTTCAAATAATCCGCGCATTTGTAAGCTCCTCCTCCCCGTCGAACCTTGAAATTAAAAGTTCAAATGGAAAACAGAATGCAGCAAAATCGCACGTTCCCGAGCGCAACTTTTGCAACTTTTTCGTTACGATATAACGCGCGATTCCGCATAATATCAACAAGTAGAATTTTTACTGTCTTTACAACACACTGTTACGTGTGAAACAGAAAGAGAGAGAGAGAGAGAGAGAGCTTATTCCCGTCTGGAGGAAGTTCCTCGTGGTAAAATCCCCTCGTTTGTTTTCCCTTATTTTTCTTCCTTCCGCTTCGACAAACGTATCCTCGTTTAGACCTACCAACGCGTAATAATTACCCGTGCAAGAACAATGGTCGAATTACGCGCGACAGGCGCAATGTACTCACGTTGTCGTCGGCGACGACGAAATTCCGTCGGATACTCCTCCCGTGAGCTACCGAAAATTGCAGAATGCGCGGCGCGCGCCTCTCGCACGTGCAAACGCGTGTAATTAACTCAGGCACCCACTTGCGAATTCATACTGCAGAACTCCGGGGTTTGCGGGATAATGAGATTTCGCGGGCTAATTATACGAGGGGGGTGGAAGGGTTTCTCTATTGGCGACGAAACTTGTTAGACAGTCGCTCACAGACTCCCGTCGTCAACGCTGAGACTCGAAAGAGTGAAGCGCGCGCGCTCCTGCTGTTTGCACACCGCGTTGTCGACCACGCAGCAACGATTCTTACGTGGACGGCGAATCCACCGTCTCCACGATCGATTCGATCGTGTTGATCAAGAAACGGAGAGTCGACGGGGAAGACTGCGTATTTCAAACCGAGATATTACTGTCGGATTAATTCGAAATTCACGACAATTTAGCGGGTTCATCTCAGCTAAATATGTATTAGTGTGCGAAATGTAGTCTTTCGGAGGGGGCCGTGGAGAATTTGAACATCGATTGTAATCGATATCGAAGCGCAGTTTGAGGTATTCTTCACGCGAGTGACGCATCGACGACGCTGCTGAAGAGCTTGACAAAAATTCCGATGCGACGGCCGATGATGTTAAATTCGGAAAGAGAAAAAGCTGCCAAGTCGCGTCTCTAATTGAATGAAACTTCACCGGAATACTTTTCGTCGAGCCCGAAGCGCGCGAGAAAGGCCGCGTCTCGTTTGAAATTCGCCTCTCGCGGCGCTCATTCCGCTAAAAATTAATGCCATTTTCATTTCGCATTCGCCCGGCCCAATTGCGTTAGCAATCGGCCCCGAAAACCTCGTCGATTTTTCATTGCCTCGTCGATGCCCGCGGCCGGCCGAGTTTCGGGGGTGCTTTCGAACCCGCAATGTGAGGTGAATGCGCGAGGGAAACGCTCGGAGCTCGCTTCAAACCCCGAATAATTAGTCTGATGGCCATAGTAGTCGACACCAGAAACGCCGAAGCGACCACCGCCGACGTTCAATCGCGCAACCAGAAGTACCCCGACAGCGGCGCGCGTGCACAATTCCGCGGAGTAGTTTCCCCAAATTAATTCACTCGGCTCTCTCTCTCTCTCTCTCCCCATCCCCCTTCCCTCCACCCTCTCTTTCTCTCTCTCTCACTCCTTCTCTTTCCCCCTTACTCTCTCTCCCTCTTCTCGAGCGCGCCGGAGAAATGATTACGCGAACTCTATGATCGAGACTCGCATCATTAATCGCCACGTTAACGAACGACTCTCTCCCGCCGGATTGATTTCCTCCCTCGCGCCGATATTTCCTTTCCCTCTTTTTTTTTCCCCCCTCTTTTGTAACGCCCTCACGTGCCTCGCGAATCCGCGCGAGCGAGCGCGCACGCATGCACGCACGTAGGCGGCGGGTAGAGGCAGTAAAACCGATCGAGCACGGGCGTTTGATATCGAAAAGAGTCCGCAATTCCCGGCAATGATTCACGAGGCGGCGTCCGAGGCGTAACCCGAAGCGCGCTCGAAGATCGTGGGAAGGTTCCGCATGGCGGGGCACGTGAAAATAATTTATTACGCGGACGCGACCGTAATGCACCGACGCCGGATAACATATTTCAACTCCGTCGTTTGTCGGACGACTCGCCCGCTCGCAATTAGCGGTCTCGTCGCTGCATGCGCGATGCCGATTTCGAGTTTCGCATTCCCTCTGATCCGCTGCCGGCGATACGCCCCGTGTGTGTGTGTGTGTGCCGATCGCTAGACGACGCGAATGATACAATAATTAGCAGCGCGACGCTGACGAGCGGGATACGTCGGCACGTGACGCGGAAACCGAGGAGAGAGCGCACGCTCGCTCGTGATCTCGAACTTCGCAGCTCTTTGCCAGACGTAGGAATCCTTGGACGGTCGTGAATCGCGATCCTTGAGCCGGAATCGTTACGTAACGGCGCGTGCCGCGAGCGTACACATCTGTGTAAGAGATAGATGAGTGGACTGCTAACTCCTTCGTTGTTTACGAACAGAAAAGTGAACGCCGAAAGCTATGCACCGCGAATGTAAACGTAGACTTCCGAGACGCGCGGTCAAGAAGAGGACAGCAAAAGGCAGAGTCGAAATTTTGCCCCTGTGTCAAATCTTTGGGGTAATTCTGTCTGTAGGAACGGAGATCTCGTTACGTGCGTCCGTAAAGTTGAGGAACGATTAACCATTGCGGAAGCCGAGATTCGTAATTAAACACGACGCTTTCACTCCCCAAGGTTAATGTCCTGTTTTTAATTTCCGTTTTTAATTTTTTCTAAACCATAATTGGGACTTTAGTGAGAAACTGTGATATCGAGGATTAACGTAGAGTTGTACGAAAGTTTCCGAATTATTGGGGATTTTGTTTTGAAAATACAGCCACAGGGGATTTACAATTCATAGTACCCGCGGTATATGTGCATGTGCACATATTTGAATATTTATATATCACTTTCTATTATTTATGCATCTCTGTTTACTCAACTGATATATAAATAAAGCATTAATAAGAGAAATCAAGAGAATAATATCCCCGTGCATGTGATTTCGAAATTAACATTTATTACTTAGATAGCTAAATGAAGTTAGAGGAAAGTGCGTTTGTTCAGTAAATAACAAGCTTATGCGGGGCCCTCTTAGTATTGCTGTTGAAAATTTAACGAGTGCTCTGCCGAAATATTTTGAACCGTAAGTGCTTTCCAATCGCAACATATGCAAACGATCTGGTGACATACACTTTTTATTTAAATGTTTTGCAATACGTGCGCCGAAGGGGGTATAAATATTCAAGACCGAAACTCGTTCGCGACCATAATAATTGCAAATATTTCTCAGTCATCGCGTGAAAAATTTCTCGCGAAAAACAGTAATGCTTTGACTTTCATTTGCCTTTGTTGTTTTCTCCCTGACTGTGTGTTATGCCATGCGTGGAGAAGGAGATACGTGTATCTGATTGATCTCGAATGTACGTAAGCGCCGATGCCCACATGCGTCCGTAGACACATATATATGACATTCAACCACCGTGACTGTCATACTTACACGTTACGTGGACGCGTTACGTCACTTCAGTACATATGTTTTTGAAATCATGTATTTCACACGAGCATATACGTTTTTGAAGTCATACATTTCACACGAGAGTTAGCAGTTCTAGCTCTCATACGGATGCCTGCATTGAGAAAGAAAGCGGTTGGATCGACAAAATCGACGGTCACTCTCGTTCAAAGTGAAATATCGTGCCTGCTGAACAAATCACACATCGATATAAAATTACGTTGCGTTTGATACACTCACTGATCAAGTCGCAATCGTCGAAGCACGATTGATGACTCATCACAGCAACTTGTATAACCTGTCCAGTGGACCAGATATTGTGCTCGAACAAATCCTATTCATTTAAGCAAAATTTCATCGATTCCACCATTTTTTTTTTTTTCACAATGGTAAGCCCGCAACGGCAACAACGTTCCTGCGGCAGCCGCGGAATTTCGATCTCCGGCTTTTGATTCGAGCGATTTTCTCGCGATTTCAGATCGACGTAATTGGGACTGTGCGTTCCGCGATGCAAAAATCGCGATGACGCAAATCGCCGAGAAATCCGTAGACGTGCGTCCGCAGACGCAGCGACTCGAGTGTCCGCGCGGTCGAAGGTTCAAGGATCGAGGGGATCTTTGGACTTTCCGCCACATAATGGGAAACTCAAGGCATCTGAATGTTCCAGATCGCCCACAGCTCGATCCACAAACGGAAGCCGTCCGTCTCCGATGCTGCTGCTTCTTCCCCCGCGCCAATGCTTCTCGAACGTATCCGCCACCACGTGGCGCGTACGACAAGACCCACGTGTATCGGTACCCGTATCGCAATTCGCACGTACCGCCTGCATGCAGGCGTGCACGTGCGCTCGGCCTATCAAAGCAGCCTTCGTCATTGTCATTGCTGCCGTTATCGTTACGTCTGGCTCGTATCTGTCTTTCCGTTGAAATGATCGTCAATCCTTCGACGAACGCGCGATTTTTCCTTAAACGTACTAGAAAATTTCAATATCTCGTACACATCAAGGCTACATTACTGTATACGTGATTGAAGGTCTCATTAGAGATGTTAACAGCGTACGAATGGTCGGAAAAGCCGTCTGCTTTTCTCTCGTTATTACAGAAATGCGAAAACTATATTACAATAATTCCGATTCCTTTTTCCTCCTCTTCTTCTCGATAAAGGCGCAATTTTATGAAGTAACATCAAGTTTCTCCACATCATTTCTGTGAGAATTAACGCGAACAAATGGTGATATTTCGTGAAATTACGCATTTCTTGAGAAGAAAGAAAAGACGCGGAGAGATGAAGTCGTGAAATCTCCGAAAGTAGTGAGCGAGCAAAAGGAGACTCGTACTCTCGTACTCGCGTACGCTATTTCCGCTAATTAACCCGAGTCGAAATTTTAAATTCTACATTAAGTCGTCAAGTGGAGAGAATGGAAATAAGTTTCCAATTGTGGCCGAGGTCGGCATTTTAAACTCTACGTTAAGTCTCCTTCTTGGAGAAAACAGAAATAAGTTCTCACTTGTAGCACCAAAGGAGCACAATTTAAAAGACCTTTGAACACTTAAAATAGAACTGAATTACGCTTAAGGCGGGCGTAAAATTTCAACTCGGGAGGGTCCTGCTTGCACCCTCGCCATATGGGTTTGCAACCGGACTGACTGCTGTCAGCTGTCCTTAAAATCTCGATAACCACGCGCGTATATATGGGCGTGCTCGCACAATATATACACACATGAAAAATACAGCCGGAGTCGATAAATAAGACGCGCATCGTATTAAAATTCGATCGGCCGGCTCACGACCGGCCAACCGGCGGGTGTTGAATTTTTCGCGAGGTGCTGCGAGATGTCTGACCTGCTGAAGATGTCCTTTAGCTCATGCTCGGACACGAACTGGCCCAGGTTCGCCACGAAGAGGGTGGAGCACTGCGCGTTGCCGGCTATGTTCGGCTGCGACGAGGGCGACCCGACCGGTGACGCCAGTGCCGGCGACGGTAGAAAATGAGGCAGCGACGCGTGTATCGACGTCAGCGTCGTAGGATGCGGCAGGGACATAGGCGCCTGGAAAAATATAAATATACTCCCATCATCACTCGATTCGCTCCATCGGTCGGTGTCGGCCGTGAGTCGGTCTATCTGCGAGTAAGATAGACCGACGCGTTTGCGTCACGATCCTACCCCCGCGAGACCCTGCTGCCGTCGATTCGATAAAAAATCCTGCCTTTTCCGCTAATAACGCTAAACCCTCGGAATTTCCGCGGGCGAAACCAGCGCGAACACCGACGAGACAGCCGCTTTCATATTAAGTCGGCCGATTTTTCACACATATTATTGTTGTTATTATTATTATATATTATTTGAAGGGCGAGACGACAACTGAAGGCTAGTCATAATTGGCCCCGGAAAAGGTAGATGAATAGTCGAAAATTAGTTAATTAAGATGCGTAGGAATAATTTCACGCGAAACGAGAGAAAAGTGGCAGTATTTTCCTTAGAAGCGATTGTGAAAATACCGCCGCTCGAAATCGCAAGAGCGAATGTTTCGCTGAAGCTTGCAAGTAGATTCTGACCTCCTACGAGGGAATTTTTCAATCGATTCGAGTGAATTTGTGTCCGTGAAATGAAGGAATATATCAAATTCACTCTCCAGTTTCGAGTGAAAATATTCATTCGACGATCCAAAGTGAAGAATTCACTCTACAAAACTGCAAAAGTCACTCGAATCGACGTGACTCGTCTGTCGTTCCATCCCGAGTCGGAATTCTAAATTCTGCGTTGGATCTTCAAGTGGAGAAAACAGGCATATGTTCCCACTTGTAGCATCAAAGGACACACAATAAGTGCTCCTTTAATGCTACACAGGAAATTAAGTCCTCGAGTGGAGAAAACGGCAATAACTTCCCCACTTGTAGCGCCAAAGGAGCACGACAGAGGACCTTTGGACGCTTAATCTAAAATTAAATTAGACTCAAGCCAGGATTAAAATTCCGACCCGGGATTTTTCGAGTGAAATTCACTGTTTCCGCGCGAAATCGAAGAGTAAGCCCGATACACGGTCAACGACAGAAAGATTGCAGCGCGTTTTTCGCGATAAATCTCGCAGCGCGTTCAATAAGAGAATTAACGTCTCGTTATTCTCAGACTCATACATTTTTCCACCAGATATCGGAAGCTTTCTGAAGTTCATCGAAGTGAAAACGTTGCAATCTTTCTACCATTGGCCATACCCCGCCGTCTCACTGGGACAAATTGAACCTAATCGACTGAAATATTCTATCGCACATATGAGAAATCCGTTCCACGTTTTGAATGGAACATCCATCCCTTGCGATCCCGAGCGGCTGTATCTTCCCTACCGTTTCGAGTGAGTCCTCGCTCGTTCCGAGGGTGATTTCACTCCGGGAAATTCGGGGGAAACAGCGCGATTTCGTGCCGTTTCGTGTATTACCAACGCGCCGAGATGCGCCGAACGATGACCGAAAGGGACGTCGTTCGATCCGGGAGGGACGTTCCGTCGAATTCGCAGAGGTCCTTGAGACTCTCTTTCTCTCGGTTATTCGCGATCAGGTCCGCGATTTTTATCGCAGCGAGAAGTCATCGACTTTTCCTCGAGGCGAAACGAACAACGAAGTCGACTCCTCGATTCTTCATTCGCCTCGACGTTTCTGCGTTGAAACGCAGGGCGCTGCGCTTCCTTTAGACGATGACTTTGAGCGACGAGTCGCCGCGAGTCCCGCGGATTCGCGATCTCGTTTAATCTCGTTTAGTACGAGAAATAACCCGGCGGTATCCCACTCTAATGTCCTCGAGACGACTCGCACGTTGCGTACCGCACTAATCGCATTCCTAAAACCGTTCCTTTCACGTGCTCGCGTTCGCGCGCTTCTCACAATGCGTTTTATTAATAGACTCGAAGTAGAGTGCTTAATTGCGGCTGACTAGTTACCGCGGTGGTTTGCATAACGCGTTTACGAGAAAACGCGACGGATTTCTCGCGCGAAGACAGAAGATGGTGTGCATTACGCGGGCGAATGTGCAATGTTATCGAACGCAAGGAACTGCGAGTTTATTTGTGCATCGAGTATCCATTAACTCGTCAAAGCGGCGATGACAGGTCTCGATGAGTCCACTCGCCGAGTCACTCGAGAACGCGTTTAATCGACTCGGACCGAGTAGGATATCCGACTTAATAAGCTCCGACGTTATTGCCACCGGTTCTCCTCGGCTCGTTATCCCTCGAGTGAATATCTCGGAGGTACCGCCGCTGCAAGCTCCCTCTTTCACTTCCGTTAAAGGAACGGTGAGAGAGATGCGTACGGAGAAAAAGGAGATAACAGTCCCGGCCCGAGAGCCTTCGATTTATCAAACGCTAGATGCAACGGATTTCCCATCTCTCTCTCTCTCTCTCTCTCTGTTGCTCTCGTTCTCCTCGGTCTCCCCGTTCTTTCGCCGTCTCAGGCCGCGGATAAATTCGAAGAATATCGGGAATCCTCTCGATTTTAGTAATAGGGATGATTTGTGCTCGAGATTTCGCGCGAACCGCAAAATTGGCTTACCACGAAAGACAGAGAGAGAAAAAGAGTGAGTGAGTGAGTGAATGAGAGGGAGAAGCCTCGCGCAGAGCGGTTCTTTCGAATTTTCCTCTCGCTCGACCGACATTCCCGGTCGAAATAACGACACACATACCCGAATATCGAGAGACTCGCCCCTTCAGGACCCGCGATTTATCTGTTACACGCGAGAACCGGGGGCGCACTCTTTAGCGCTGCGAGTTATTCCCGCGGAGATTTATAGGCGCCGGGCGCGGTATCAAAAAGCGAGAAGCTCATGGAATCGTGAGTATTGAACGTTCTGATAGTCGGGCGATAAAAATTCCGCTGTTAAATAATATATCAAGGTAAACATTGGTGCCCGAGCATACTCGACGGTTTTAGAAACCGCCGCGCCGAGACGAACGAAAACCAATATTGCGAGATATCTGAGAAATTCACTTGCTCCGGTATGAAAAAAAGAAAACCGCGCGTCTGCAGGTGTAAAAATAAGGATGGGCTAAAATTAAGGCAGTTACTTGTGGTAACTGAGAATAATTAGTATTACTTGAAATAATGACAGTGATTATGAGTTGTGAGCAACTATAACGGTAACTTATAATAATAAAATAATCCGCGTCGTGAAGAAAATTAAAATAGATCCGAGGAAATAAGATTATGTGACGTATAAAAGATTGCATTATTATATTCTTAGTATCATCGAAAGAGAAAAATCAGCTCCCACGGCTGCAAACCGTCTACATAATACAACTGAAATTTAGCCAACAGGCCAAGTTTTCGGCAGTGGCAGCCGATTCCTCATTTTTCTTTCCGTGTACGTACCCGGCGATTTAAATTCGCGAAAATCCCGAGGAATCAATCTGAGAAGGAGAAAAAATTCCCCGTGTCCGGAATATCGCGGAGATCCGATAATAGCCCGAACATGAAAATGCATTCGCAGAAGCGTTTCTTATCGCGATTCCTCGCGGCTTTGCACTCGCGATTACTCACGGGCCGCCGGTGTGACGTGCGGCGGAATAATATTGACCCGCTATCAAACGGCGTAAAAGACATCGCATAGTATCACGTGCAACGCGCACACGATCGATAAGGATGCAGATTGTATCGGCGCTCGCGTTCGTGACCATACCGCCGCCTATTTATCCTCATAGAAATCGGTAGCAAGGTGTTCGCGACCAAGTTATGGCCCTGCTGCATAATGCGTGACGGGTACCCGTGTGAACCTGGCACAAGCCTATGCGATATTAAAAATCAATAGGACCGAGCGAATCGGTACCCGTTCGTACCACCGATACTTTAAAGGGGTCGAAGGAGTACACTCGCGGCCAGAAACTTTTCCCGATTCTTCGAGGCTTCGGTAGTTTACCGGCCTTACCTCTCGTATTCATCGATAAGTCAGACACGCCCTGCCGCCTCCTTTAATCTCGCCAAAATTTCTCCACGAGACTCGCCGTCCTTCGAAGTATTTTCACGTTCGTCTTATCGAATGTGTGGAAACAACGCGGATAAACAATGAATTATAATTGCAATCTTGAGACGCGAAAACACGAGATGAAACTTTGAAGTAAACAACCAACCATTCCTTTGCTCGTCGTCTCTTCGTGTATGAAAAAAAAAATGAAGAAGAGAGAGAGAGAGAAAGGAACATATATATATATATATATATATCTCTCTCTCTCTCTCGGTACAATTCTTCACGCGGTTTCTCTAGATTACCGTAACTAATTATCTAATGCGCGGCTTATCGGTGTGTTATTTATGAACGCGTCTCGCTCTACATCCGTCTTCATTAATAACGACGAGGTAACTGTCTTTTAACGCCGACCATAGATATCGTCAGCGCAGTAACATCCACGAAAAAGTTTTAAACGTTCCTCTCCCACGGCTCCGGCGCGAAAATAAAATAGCGGACCGGAGCGGCCAGACTGCTGGATGTCGTGCGGCCGGAAAAAAAGAAAAAGTAAAAGCCGTGGTTTTTTATTAACGTCGGTCTCTCCGGCGGTCGCCGTAATTAATCCATGTCGCGACAAACTTCGGAAGCGTCGCAATAGTTTCGAAACCCCGGCGATTCGAAGCTCGCGTGACACGAGCCCGCACGACCAAGCGCACACCAGCTTCTGCGAGGAGGACTGCGCGGAGTCGCGCTATCGATTTATGAAGGATCGATAGAGCGTAATATTCGGATTTTTATTTCAACGCGTGACATTCGGCTTCGAATCGCAGCCAATTTTCGCGCGCGATCAGACAGCGTGAGGCAGACAATGGGAAGCTTAGTCTTCATTTAATAGTGCGCGAATTCGCTCGAAAATTGTTCTGAAAATTTCACTCGGTTCTGAAAATGGAGAATAGACGTAGAAAAATGTGAAAGTTGAAAACGGAACAGACGGTTCTACCGTGTGTGGAAAAACTCGAGCTCTACGTTACATCTAATTAAAGATATTATTAGAAAATCCAATTGGGAACAAAAATAAAATATAAATAAAACAAAGCGAAATACCGAAAGATCTAATTAGTAATAAAATAGGATAATAATAGCAAAATTGGAATGGAAAAGTTACACATACTTCTAAGTACGCGAAATCGATAACACACGTAAATTACGAGACGCTTCTGTGATTAAAGTGAAATGAAACAACATTTCTCTAAATTATCAAAGATATCCAAATTATCCAGAACAATTTTAAATAAAGACCTGAAATTTCAGACCTTTTTCTCAATTACCGATTCTCTAAATATCAGCTGGAAATCAACGAGGAACTCGAGAGACTGATCGATCTGAGGATACGCGCGCACCCGCGAGATCGACGGATCCTCCCCTCCTCGGCGAGACTTCCGCGGAGGGAGAAGCCGCGGGGAATCCGTCGGAGAGCGAGCGGAGCCAGATAAAGAGAAAAAAGAAAAGAGACTCGAGGCTGACTGCGATTAGGTCCGAGGATCTTGACGAGAACCGAAGGAGCCGAGGAGCCAAGTCGAGGGCCTCGTCGAGGGTGTTTCGTCGTCGTCGGGCTCCTTGGGTCCTCGCGGACGCTCCCGCGTGATTCTACCGGCAATAATCGAGTATGAGTAAACGATCATGTGTATCACTAACGTGCATCGGGGCGCTCGTCGGCGGCTCCAGAGCTTTGTCTGCAGATAGTCAAAGATAGGAACGTACGGGGACCTGAGGATGTAACGCCGGATGCACCAGCGTCGCATGTTGCAGCGTGCCCGGTAATTCGCCGGCCGTGGAGTACGCCAACGGATGATGCCACAACTCAGGACCACCGGGGAAGAAGGGGCTCCCTAGGTCTGCAATAGAGCACAGGATTAGATAGAGTAGTCGGCGTGCTCCCCCCACCCCCGTAATAATTAAACACGCTCGCGCTCGCGTCGGGATGTCTACCGCGCGGGAACCGTCGGGAAAGCCGCCGTTGGAGTTTTTTTCACACTACAAAACGTACCACCGCGTGCGAGCACGCGGACGAATGTACCAACCGGGCGATTCCTCTTTCTCATTGACGGGTATTAATTTCGCAAGGAGATTGAAAAGAGAGTCACGCGTCGCTTTGTAAACCCGCGAAGAAGAGACTTTGGAATTTCAGCAAAATTGACCGTTCATTTCTACTCTTTCTCTGGCCCGATGAGAGAAGAATCGAACAACCGCGGATATCGCCGCGGAAATCTCGGGAAACCTCGCTCGGTAGACATCCGGCTTAGCGTGCGCAAGCGATTTGTTCTATTCTCTCGTTCGGGCGACTTTTGCGCAAAACGCCTCGCCGTGTATTCACGCAGCGAAACACGCCGCAGCGTTCTTTTCTCCCCGCAATCCGGCTCGATGATACGCTCTCGAGCAATCTCGGTGTGTGGTGTTTGGTTTTTTGTCCTTCTCCACAAAGAGATATCTGCGCGGACGTGCGCCGCCTTTTTACACAAAAGCCGCCCGATCGCATTTTCCGTAATAAGATAAGACTAATGATTATTCATTATTAATAGGCCGCGCCGAGAGAGCCGTGTTATTCATGGTCGCTAGACATGTCGCTCGAGTGTCGTCGTATGGGACGAGTGTCTAGTTCGAGGTGAAACGCGCTTTCCGGTGGCCGCCGGAAAGGTCGCGTCGATCCGTCGCGTTTCCGGCGCAATCGGCGTCGCTGCCGGCTTGCCTTTCGCGTAGGCGCGCGTGTTGTAACGCGAAGCGGAAGTCGACGGGGAATCATTCCGATCGAGATCAGGGCACATATATGTATGGTTATATATATATATATATATATATGTATATATACTTATGTATATATACCATATACACCTCCTCCGCCGTAAAAAGCAAAGCGTAATTAGGCGGCGCGTAATTAGAGCGGCAAACGCTTGCGCGTGCTCGAGAAAGAAGGGGCGGTGAGGGAGAAGGAAGAGGAGGACGAGGAGTGGGAGGGAGGAGAGGCAGTAGCGCGAACGCACGGTCGATATTTCCCTCGGAGCGAGTCCGGCGCGATTACGCGATCGATAGCGTCCGATTTACGAGGCGACCCCGAATGTGCGAGGGAGGTTACGGAGACGCACGGAAGACGGAAACGGTTAATTGCGGTACTTGGGGATTTTCTCGAATTAAAAGGAAGCGAGCTCCGCACGGCGAGATCTCTCGCGGCGAATCGCACGAGGGATCATCGTGATTTACGTAACACGTGACGCGGCTCGCGAGTCGCGATAAATAGCAATGGTTACGAGGCAGCCTCGTACGTATTAACGTGATGTCGCGAGTTGGAGGACGCGACACGCGTGTATCACATCGATATCACACGGAAAGATATAGTCTTGAATCGGGAATAAATATTCTCGGCGTGCGGGCGAGAATATTATAATCTCCTTAGAAAATGCTTAGTCCTGAACTGAATTCGATTAATACTCGCATCGATACGAGTTCCATCCAATCGAGACTGGAAATCTTCCAACAAGATTACAATATTCTTGTTAGAATATCAATTCTAGACTTGGGACTCATTTTTATTTCCTCTTATTGCAGTCGCAAAAACACACTTTCCTGCCGCGCTTCTTTCAATCTTCTAGTTCGCCGCGGAGAAGGATACTGCGATGTTAAATTAACAGTTGTTTCGACGAGTCGCGAATGTATTCCGACAAGCTTCGAGCGCGAAACGGACAACGAAATCTCCGTTTTTACTCGGTCCTGCGCTCGTGAAAATCAAGAATCCCCGCCGAAAGACGTGGAATCGAAGATCGGTCGATTGCAATGTGCGAGAAGATCGAGCTTAACGATACGTTCTTTCGTTACCCTCCCCTGGTATGGATCTGTCTCATCCTCGAGGTCGCTCGAATTCGATCTATTAATTCGTTCAAACAGATCCGCCTATGAGTGACGAACGACGTACTTGTTGCTCCAAGTCGCGAGCGTGCCGCTTCGGCGAGCACCGCGAGAAAGAGAAAGAGATAGATAGATAGACAGATAGAGAGAGAGAGAGAGAGACGCGGATTATTCGCGGCCGGAAGGAATAATGGCACGGTGCTGCATAGTACGCCAGGATAATCGCCGACGGCACGGCAGGAGGGAAAAAATGGTCTTCTCGGAAGAGCCCGGCGAAGTCGCGCGGGGAGGTGAGCCGTGATTAGGCGTTTGAGCCAGTGACAACGTTAAAACGAGCGTCGTCCTGCGAGCGATTCTCGGCGTCCCTCGTTATGCAACGTCTCGCGAATGTTTACGTCGGCTCGTCGAAAGACCCGCCGAAAGATTTCAGCGCGAGTAGATTTCTGCGTACTCGCGTAATTCTAATTTCCTAGAGCGGTCTCTTATTACCGGCTTGATGGCGCGGCTTAACTGCGCTTTTCCGCCGCAGAGATCCGAACGGCAGGCGGGGGCGACGGGCTCGAGTCCTTGGATAATGTCCTTTCCGGCCGCCCACCCGCGCTCGTTACTTTTCCGTCGTCGCGCTGTTGCATACGTTGAAGTCGCGCGCGAAGAAACACGAGCCGAAATATCGGCCTTTAAGAGCTCAGACACGGAATGAAGGGAGAATAAGGAGCGGGAGATTCAATTAGGGGGAGGAAGTGAAATTTCGACGGGATAATAAAGGAATAAAGGACTTTGGATTAGAAATGCTTTGTGAAGAGAAATCTACTGAAAATTTCGCGATTTCACCGCCTGCAATGAATTTTTGGCGTTTTCAGTTACATGAGAAGGATCCATCGTACGCGCCCACATTGAGCCCCGAAGTGAAATAAATAATAATAATAATAAAAATTGTGCGAGGAATTTCTGCCGACCCCGCTGACGACTGCAATCCTGGCTACGGCCGTGCTTACAAGCGGTCCAAATAGGCGCGAAGTATTCTCGAGAGCGTCAAAGTAACGTCAAGATTTCGGAAACGCGTTTCGTGCTCGATCGGGAAAACTCGCGCCAACGTTGCGCCTTTTCCCACTGATTCGTCACGAACGTGGGCGCGATTTCCGCCGACGAACGCACGCATCGCCATCCGGGACGACCGCGGAACAAGAGGCTCTTTTATAAGACTCGCCCTCGCGGTGTGAAACGCATCGGAGATCCGGCGCGCGTCATCGCGATCGATCATGCGACCAATCGTCTTCGATCTGTCCCGGTCGAGCCGCGATGACGACGTCGTCGCGGCGATGACACGCGAGGACTCGGTGCGGAATTGAAACGCATCGATCCAACGCCCAGTTATCGCAGCCCTCGTGAGCACGCGCGAGATTCAGCGATTTCGATGATTGCCGGACTGAAGCCAAGTCGTCGGCAGTAATTTGCGAGATGCGCCGGTTTTCAAAACTGAATATTAACACCGCTTTCTTGATGCAGTTTGGAACCCAGCCGATGCTCCAATGAGAGAATCTATTTCTCTTTTTCGAAAAAACGGAGCTTTCTCATCGGACCGTCGTTTGCGTTCTGAACTGTGTCGAAAAAAAAAAGTATTTAAACCGCTTTTAAAACCAGTGCCATTCGACGACTTGGCAGTTATACTATTCTTTTTTTTTGGTCGCGTATCTCTCTGCGATTTAAGCTTTTAAATGTAACTTTTTGTTTTAATCATACGCAGTAAAAATAACTTTGTGTTAGAAACGGTCCTCTGAAACGAGGCGAATGTGTTAATTCAGCATCATATTAGTATACTTTTTAACACCATGTTAAAGTAGCACGAAATTTCAGTGGGACGGTTTTAACATAGGATTTTTTATCGTGCAACTATTTATTTTATTTGTTTGTTCGGCTGAGATAAAAAAATGTTTATTTTATATATCTCCCCACAACGAAAAAGAGAGAGAGAGAAAGAGAGAGAGAGAGAGAGAGAGAGAGAGCGATTATATTTATGAATTATGAGTATATTTAGAATTAATTACTACGTTTCCATTATCGTGGTGGTTGAAACGATTCTAACAAAGTGAGTGTTATTTAATCGTCGGTGTCGATTAAGCCGCGCGATTATCCGACGAAAATCTCCAAGAACGAACAATCGAGATAAATAACAGAACATTAAATAATTAGGACAGCCGGTTCGCGCGGATCAAAATAACGGGGGTTTTACAATCCCGCCCCACGTCCCAGTTAAACGGGGACCTCCGCCTCTCTGTGTTTGCGTGTATATTAAACCTCGTTGTAAATTAATTCCGAAAATATATCGAAGGGCATACCTACTTCGCGCGCGCTTGCGCGCACGGGAAAATTAATTACGACCGCAGTCGGTAACCGCAACCGTTCCCGGGTCGAATTAACCGGTCGTGCCGAAAACGCGGAAATCTTCGCGAAAGTCCCCGCGGCAAGACTCCGCGGAACTCTTGCAGGATTTATGCGAAATTCGGAGCCGCCTGTTTATCGTGAAATGCGCTCGCCGACAGCAGCCGGTGCATGAACCCTTACATGTGTGCGTCCGCTCGCTCGTGTGTTTTACTCCATGCCAGGACTGTGCACTTTATTGATTCTAGGCTGACCTCCGATTCGCATGGCGAAGCACACCGGGTACGAGTAAACGCGCGCCGTCTAGATAGGGTGGAAAAGAGAGAGAGAGAGAGAGAGAGCTTTCACCGTTGTGTCGTCGGACATTTTTTTTATTCCTCTCTCTCTCTCTCTCTCTCTGTCCTTCTCGCTCGCTCTCTGTCACTCCCCTTCGCGCTGTTTCTCGTTTATTTCACGAGTACCGGATGAATCCAATAAATTGAGTAACAACGCGTTTTTCAATTTACTCAACTCTATCAAGATCGCGGACTTTCCGCGCGATTAAACATATTCAGGGAAAAATCGCGCGCTGTTACCACGCTTTAATTTCCCGATTTAGCAGCGGAATCGACGGCGGGGG